CCCCGCCGCTGTCAAGAAGCCCTCCTTCTGCATTGCAGACATCCTGCATGCCGGCGTAGGGGAGCCGGGGGCGGCTCCAGAGGGCCTAACCGGGGCTTCAGCCGCCGCCCTCACCGCGCACTTGGGCACGGTTCACCCGCATGCCTCTTTCCAAGCTGCCACCAGATCCCCGCTTCGACCCACTCCAGTGGTGGCGCCCTCCGAAGTCCCGGCTGGCTTCCCCCCGCGGCTGGGCCCCCCTTCCGGCCCCCATGCCTTCCCGCAGCGGCTGTCCCCTCTTTCGGCCGCCTATAACCACCATCACCCACAGCAGCAACAACAGCAGCAACAGCCACAGCAGCAGCAGCCTCCGCCTGCATCTCGCGCCGGCGCCTTGCAGCCCCCAACCTCAGGGACGCGGGTGGTCCCGAACCCCCACCACAGTGGCTCAGCCCCGGCTCCCTCCAGCAAGGACCTCAAATTTGGAATTGATCGCATTTTGTCTGCAGAATTTGACCCAAAAGTCAAGGAGGGCAACACGTTGAGAGGTAGGTCGTGGGAGGTAGGTTGCAGGCCTCTGGGACCACGATTCTGTCCCACCACCTGGGCCAGGAGGGTGTAGGATACCTTCAGGTGTCTTTACAATTACAGAGAAATTGATAGAATGGGAGAGAAAAAAAGAATTGTAAGAAAACTATGAAGGACTAGGTTTAATACTCACCTGCTCTATGTAAAAAATAACTCCAGGATGTTGTAAAAACACACCTTGCAGAATCAATTCATTAAAATGGTGTAAATATATGTAAAAAATGGCTATAATCTGTTTCTTTAATCATATATCTAGAGAGAAAAAACTGTATTTTCTGACAGAGAAAGTCCTTTAGGGGAACTCTCTCCCGTCCTTTAATCAGATTTCTAGTAACATTCTACACCCAAGGAATGTAGATAAACAAAACAGCTAGTTGAAGCTCCGGAGAGGAGAGAGCAGAGTGGGGCTCCTTGAGACGGAGGTTTCGGCTCTCCAGAATTCTTGGAAGGCACCTGAAAGTGATGGCTTTGGGGCTGTTCTATGTAAAGCCCTTCCTTACTATCTGCATGGACAAGGACGTGAGAGACTCACATAGGAACATTTTGCACATCCCTCTTTGGCAACTGTCTGGAGAAAGAGGTTTAGGCTCTGGGAGACTGGGGTCTCTCTTGACCTTGCTCCAGTAAAACCCAATTGGGGGTGAAGGAAAGGAGAGGAACAAATCTACTAGTGTGTGTTTGCCCAAGGTTTAACCGGCACAACTTTTCCTTTGTCCCCAGATCTCACATCCCTGCTAACCGGTGGCGGGCGGCCTGCAGGGATGCATCTCTCGGGCCTGCAGCCCTCCGCGGGCCAATTCTTCGCATCTCTAGATCCCATGAATGAGGCTTCTGCCATCCTGAGTCCCTTAAGTTCCACTCCGAGAAATTCAGTGCAGCATCAGTTCCAAGACACGTTTCCAGGTACAACAGACTTCCCCACCACCAGTGGACTGACAGTCAGAAATCACAGGACTGACGCCTAAAGGGGTGGCAGGGGTGTTGCAATATTGCAGCTGGGGCGGGAGGCTCGAGAGTCCAGAGAGAGAAATCTGAAGGTTTCTCAGCGAGCTAGCACTGGCTTCAGATTGCCCCAGGGAAGAAAGGGTTGGGAGCCTCTGGGTAACCAAGAATGTGTGTGCCTGAGCAGGTGAAGGGAGGCTTTCTCCACAATCTTTCCAGCAGAGAGGGTGGCTTAAAAATGCGGCATCAAGAGGGGCTGCTTATTAACATGTACATACTTGAGGATGACCTCAAACATGTTGGCTCTGTGTGGTTGGTTGTCTGGGTGCGTGGCACATATGAGGACACACACGCACACACAGAGTAGAAGTTTGGGACTGTCATTTGTCCGGACTGAGTCATTCAGGCCCAAAGGACATTTTCTTCTACTCTTTCTATGATGGCCACTTCCTAAGTTTATGTTTTTCCTTTGGAATTAATCTCTGAGCGCTAGATTTCTCCAGCCCACACTAGCTTTAGGCCTTCCAATTACCATCTTCAGAGCTGTAAAATTCCTTTAGAGAGGCCATTCATGTGTACACTTGGAGGGCTTCCTTGAATGGGTTTGAAGCTGACTGTTGACGCAGAATAGCTTTCAGCAGCAGGAGGAATCCCAGGCCCGCAGGCTGCAATCGGGGCGCTAAAGTGCCCTTCTGGAATCTTCTCTTTCAAATCTTCTCTTTCGCTCCTGCCTGGCGATAGGTCCCTACGCTGTGCTCACGAAGGACACGATGCCACAGACGTACAAGAGGAAGCGCTCATGGTCGCGGGCCGTTTTCTCCAACCTGCAGAGGAAAGGCCTGGAAAAGAGGTTTGAAATTCAGAAGTACGTGACCAAGCCTGACCGAAAGCAGCTGGCGGCAATGCTGGGCCTCACCGACGCGCAGGTAATCCAGGCTGACTCCTGCACACAGCACCTTGCCATCCGTAGGAGCTTACGGCCTAGGCCAGCAAGTCCCCTCCACTGGGCTGGCGGTTCGCCTCCTGGGTTCCAAACAGTATTGCGTTTCAGGAGGCTTTGTGGACTTGAGACTAGAGGCTGGAGAAGAGGGTGGGGGTGGGGGTGAGGGAGAAGGACAGAGAGAGTAGCCCATCCCCGAAGATACATGTCAACAAGCACTGCATGTTTATTTTGGCCAACAGGCGAAGGAACGCGGAGAAAGCAAATGGGCCAGGGGAGATAATAATTATGTACTCAACTGGAGTGCAGTTCGCTGTAGGAGACAGTTTATTTCAGAAGAGATAAAAACCGAAGTCTTAGAGATTGTTGTTGGGTTTTTTTCCCTCCCTTCCTCCTCCTGCTCTGGCTGCCGCTGCTGGATTGTGAAATCCCCAGTTGTGAGGAAGTGAAAATATCATTTCAAACGGAATTACTTAGCTCCAGTAGGGCGAGGAGTCGCTAGGAGAGACCACAGCCAGTCCATGTTCTAACGGCTTAGATGCTGAAGGAAATCTCGGGTGGGCAGAGGCTGAGGGACAGAAAGAAAGATTTTTTAAGAACACCCAAGAACATTTAGCAGGTTCCATTTACTTTTTTTTTTCCCCCCAAGACAATAGGAAATCTGTTGCACCTGAATTAATTTTTTTGATTATTCTGAAATTCAAGAACTGGGCCTTTTTTTTTCTCTAACTATAAGAGAGTCACCCACACAGTGGGCCTTGCTCCCTGCATTCTGACTCTCCAACGGAGAAAGCCAAACGCGGCTGCTGCTTAGCTCCCTGGTGTTGCCTTCTGTCTCCGAGTCTTTCTGGCTTCCATTACCCAACTCCCCTCTTCAACAGAGGCACACATTGGAAGAGCCCAGCCGTTTTCCACCAGCTGTGGATGTTATTTTTAAAAGGGAAGCTGGAACTTGCGTGAGCGAATTGGGTTCCCAAGGGGGATCATACATACTTATAAAGATCCTCTGCCCCCTCTCTACCCCCTTCCTCCACTTTGCACACATGTAATTCCAGCATTTTCTGAGTCCCCAAGAGGATTCCCCCCCCCAGCTGTGGCAGGGTCTCTATCTGCTCCAGAGTACAAACATGCCAAGGAAAGACTCTTCTTCTGAGAGTCCAGCACTGCCCACACTTCGCTGGAATTAACTCTTGGAACTCACTTTCCCTTTCTGCTCCCTATGATTCTCCTTAAAAAGAACTGCTCTTGCAGAGACGTGCTTTGAGTGGTAGTAAGAGAGGAGAGGACCAACCTCGAACTGGAGTTTCTAACAGTGGTTCACCATACCCTTGATATGGTGTGCAAACTCCTGAGTTTATGTTCATTTTTCTGAATGAGGAGTCCATACCTTCAAGAGGATTCTCACCGGGGTCCTTACTCAAGTGAGGTTAAGAAGCATTCATTTATTTTTTTTTATTTTTACTTATTCATTCATTTATTTTAATCTGACCAGAGAGAGAGTGAGAAAGCAAGCCACCAGGTCCAGGACTTGAACCACAGTGACTATGTGGGAGTGTCCAGCGCCTTAACCACCACGCCACCTGCTGGCGCCCAAGAAGCTTTTATTTAGAGTAGGCAACTTTAGTAGGTTGGCGTGGGGGTGAGGATCTGCGTTTCCAAGTACTCAGGTCATTTGGGGTGTGCGATTGAGAATAGTCCTAGTGTATTCTCTAGGCCGGACTCCCTAGTCTTGTTCCCGCCCCTGAGCTAGCACGGTGCTGGCCCTTGGCAGAGACGCTGCGAATGGTTAGGGTGCTTTCCCCCGCACAAGGGGGTGTATCGTAAGTGCGCACGAGTGGAAGGAGAGAGAGCCGGTGCCTCATCTCGTGTCTCTTGTCTCCCGTGCGGTGCGGCGCAGGTGAAAGTGTGGTTCCAGAACCGACGGATGAAGTGGCGGCACTCCAAGGAGGCTCAGGCCCAGAAGGACAAGGACAAGGAGGCCGACGAGAAACCGTCCGGCGGAGCTGCCGCTGCGGACGGCGGAGAGGAGCCCCAGCCGCTCCGAGGGCGAGGCCGAGAGCGAGAGCAGCGACTCCGAGTCCGTGGACATGGCCCCCAGCGACACCGAGCGGACTGAGGGGGCTGGGTCTCTACACCAAACAACGGTTATTAAGGTTTCGGCCGCCGGCGCCCTGGTCGCCGCCGGCGCCCTCGTCACCACCGGCAGCGGTGGGAGTGGTGGGAGCGGCGGCGGCAGCGGTTTCAGCTTCGGCGGCGCCAGCAGCCTCAGTTGCAGCAGCACCAGCGCGGGCAGCGCCAGTAGCGTTGGCAGCGGCGGCGGCACCTCGGAGCTGCTCCCGGCACCCCAGTCCACCCTCAGCAGCGCTCCCGAAAGCCCCGAGCCCAACCAAGTCCCGCTTGGCGGCTTATAGACAGAATGGCCCGAGAGGACCCGGGGCCCTGCGTGCAGTCTCCCAGCCACAGGCTGGATTTTGTGTCTATTTTACGTTGGCGACAGGGCCAGGACTGGGCACGTGGTGCTAAGCATCCTCAGGGGCAGTGCACCTCTTCCTTCACTGCTCTGGCTGCAGCCACACTGCCCAGTGCCAGGGGAGTTCAGTGTGTCCCACACCAGAGACTTTCATGGCCAAACGCTTCTCCCTGGACACAGGCAACTCTGAACTGTGAAGTGTTTGACTAAACTGTTCCTCCCCGTTCCAAGGGGTTGTGGCACAAAGACCTGTGGCACTTAGGAAGCCTTACACCTGTAAATAAAATGTTTACTATGGTTTGTAAAGGCTGCTTGGCTTGCTGGGGTGATGCAGTCAATAAGGCTTGGAATCTTGGCCAGGACCCTACAGCCTGGAACTGCAGGGGGCACCAGCTAGAGGTTGGGGGGTGGGGGTCGGGCTGGAGCATTTGGGGCCAGTGGCTCATCTCAGAGCCACCTTGCTGCAGAGATTGGCGTTTGGGCTTAGAGGCTTCATCTAGTCCCCAGGTCGAATAGCTGCTGCCAACTGCCACATAATGTGTGCTCTGTGACCGGGCCTGGCAGGATAACTGAACAGGTGACAGAATCTGTTAGGCCAGTGCAGCAGATGGCTTCCCCTTTCAGAGTGTAGACACAATGAATAGGTGTGCTGTTCTTGGTGGCTTCAGACTACGGAAAGTTGGGTGGTACAGGGTGGGGTCAACCCAGGTACAGTGGTACTCACTAGGTGGCCGCTCGCCACCCCACTCCTGTGGACTCTCCCAACACAAACTACCCCTTGTTTCTTGTTCTGCGATAGGGCAGGGGACAGGGCAGCATTGTGGTGTCACAGAGGAAACGACAGACATGCCACAGTGGTTAGGGCTCAAAGCCCAGGTCTTAGAGAGCCAGGGTCTTAGTTTTAAAGATGCCAAAACAATTATGCAGGGAGGAAACTTGTTCAAGGTAGAGTCCAAACTAGCACTGGAACCTTCTAGCCCACCTTTGGTCACTGAAGGGTGTAGGAAACTGCGCTTCTCTGGTACAAAATCTCCTTTCACATTTCTGCCACAGGAGGCGCCCAGTTCAGCTCTTTCTCCCCTTCTCTTTCCTCTCCAGGAGCTGGAGATGAGTTGAGAAGCACTTTCCCCATCCTATCACAGCTGGAAAATAGTAAACTTATTGTATTGCCTTGACATGCTACTAAAATAGGCCAGTCGAAGTGTTGTTTTCTTCCTAAGCTGGCGAGTTGAACCTTTCTCTAGATCTATCCTTCCTGATTCTCTCTAGAAACTATGAAGTGTCTGGTCAACACTCTTTTGGGAGATTTTAAAACAACAAATGTCCCTGGCAAACCCTGCCCAACTGGGTCCTTTTGGCATGGAGCTGATGAGGACACAAGGCCTCTCAAAGACCCAGCATCCAAGCATTGGAGTGGGCTCTTGTGTGGAACATGCCACAAAGAGATTCTGAGGCCAGAGAACCCCAGCCCTTGGCAGCAGAGTGAGAAGGTTCCCAGGGCCTCCTCTGTCTTGCTTATCTCTTTCTCCTCTTTACCTCATTCCCCTGGAGCTCATTCCAGGACCTCCGTCCTAGTCCTAGACCTCCTGGCCCACAGGCAGAGGAGAGGCGGCAGATTTAGTCTTCTCTTCCAGGATCAGCCAGACACCAAAGCAAGTCCCAGAGCCGACACAGGAATGCGAGGTTACCCATTCCCGCCCACAGCCCAGAACCAGCTGAATTCCTAAAGGAGCAAGGGAGGAGGAGGGAGAGAGTGATCTGGTCCCTGGAGGGATCCTAGTTTAAAAGAGAGAGTGATAAAGTTGTTATCCCTAATCTTGCCACAAGAGTTTTTGGCTGTGGTAACCTCCCCCCTTGCCCTGGGCTCCAGGCCCAGGCTGGGGTAATTCCTTCAAGCCTTCATGGGATCTGCTCCCTCAAAGCTAGACCCTCTCAGAACTTCCACACTGCCTTCATGACTGTGATCTGTTTCCTCTGATTCTTCCAATACTTAAATTCTGGAACCAGGACATCCTAAGAAGATCAAAATTTGGAGCACTTACATTCCATTCTCAAGGAGAATAAGGTGGCAGCATCCTTATGCATTTGAGCAGAGCTGAGCTGCGGTCGGGAGATGCTTTATGCAAAATGCACTTACCCTGACTGCTCAGGGGGCCCTCCAGGTGGCCCCCAAAGTTCTACTGCGTTCCTTTGCCAGGCCTCTGGGCTCTGAAAGTGAAGGAAACCATTACTCAGGGAACTAAACTGTGTAATTTCAGCCAGGTTCCGCCAGGCCAGGGGGCGCGGCAGAACTTGGGGACTGGGAAAAGAAGTGAGCTGGCAGCGGGCACCTGGTGGCCAGAGTTCCGAGGCGGGAAGCTCCTTTGGGCTCTCCGGAGGCGCTCCAACCCCTCCACCCGCTCAGTTCTTGCACATTTTTTCCCGGTAAAACTCTTGCGAAGCTTTACCTTGGGCAGTGGAGTTCTTCCATATTTTTATCAGAAACAGTATATCACAAACCCCGGAAGAATTTAAAGTTCATTTGGAAGAAGAGCAGCCGCAGGGCAAAGGCTCCTCTCTGGCTGGGTCTGGGTGACCCAGAAGAAAGGCTGCTTTTCAAGCGGCTGACAGCCCTGTCCCTGGCTTCTCGCTTAGCCCGGAGTACTAGAATCTTCCCCGCGGCGCTTGATGCTAGCAAGGGCGGTCCGGGTATAGCTAGACCGAGACTTTTCAGACGCCAAAGAGAAGGCTGACCGCGGAAGGTCGGCAGGCGCCAGACCCGCTGAGGCCCTCGGGGATGGGACTTGGGGGAGGCGAGTGTGCGCCGGCCGGGCGCAGGGGCAGAGCTTCGGACCCGCCCCTCCTGCAGGCCGCCCAGGACTCGAGCTTTTCTCCTAATAACAGCTTGCCTGCGAGTAGGAGCCTCGGCGTCGCCGTCGCCGAGGCTGAGCAAGGCTAGCAAGGCGCACCAAGACACACAGCGGGATCGCGACTAGCTTGCGCTTTGTTGGCAAAGGATGGGGTGAGGGAGGGTGAGGTTGGGGTCCAATACCCGGCTCTCTGCCCTGGCATTCACTCAAAAGGAGACACACAGCAGACTCTTTGAGACAGGCCTCCTATTGGCGATTTCAGCACTTTGTGGGTAAAACCATGCACAGAAAGTTTCCCGTTCTCTTCGCAAAGCGACGTGAGGAGCCTCACACGGCCTTATTGTGCCTGTGTGTGTGGATGGAGGCTGGTCTTAGTGCAAGTCTCCTAGAGTCAGGTTCCGCAGACCCAGCCACCAAGCGCCCGCGCCGCCCTTCCTCCACTTGCTGGCTTCAGCCAAGGTTGGGCAGAGATCTGGATGGCGGGAGTGTGTCGCCTTCTCTGTCCCCATCGAGGTCAAAACTGTCACGCCCCGAGGCACACTAAGTGTTGCCTCCAAGGGACGCCCTGACTTTCATAAAAGCTAAAGAGATCACTCGGCAAGAATAGGTATGTCCAGAGACTCTGCTTAGACTCTGGTTGTCTCCGATGCTGATCACCCTTTCTGCGCGCAAAGGGGACAGAAGGATCAGTTTCTCTGTCATCTTTTTTTGTTTTGATTTGATTTTTCTGGCTGCTCTTCCTACCCAGGTTCTGGAACGCGACGTTGGCAGGAGTTGGGCTAGGTCGCAGTCTGCACGAAGCAGGCAGGGAAGAGTGCCTATCCCGTCCAGGCCTCCTTCTGGAGATACCAGAGAACAAAGTAGCTGGAGAATGAACCCGGGTTCCCTGCTGGGGCACTTACCCTACGGAAGCGTCTGGGTTCAAAGGGTGGGGCAGGGAGTAGGGCCTATGGCAAAAGGTTTTCTGCCAGCATTTTAGAGTGGAGTGTTAATCTATTTCCAGATGTGAACCCACCTTTGCTCAAGCCAGATACCTGCCCTCATGCAGACTCCCAGTGGGTGGGATGGGCCAGATGGCCCAATGGGCATGGGGTTGACTGTAAAGTCAGAAATAAGGAAGAAAAGCCAGAAGCTGAGGTCGGCGTTCCTTCCCATTTGCACGCCTAAAGCCCTCTCTCCAGCTTCATCCTCCTTTAAAGAGGAAGAACAGATACCGAACCCCACCCTCTCCTCCACGCACATAGCTATTACTTTAAAGGTGTCTGAGAGGACTCTAAATACACAGGGATATCTCATTCCCTATTCTTTAGACTCTGGGGGTGGGGGGAACAGGTGGATGACACACTATGATCTTTGTGAAGATGCAAATGTTGTGTTTTAAGGAGGAATTCAACTGCAGGTATTCAGCCCTGGGAGACAGAGCCTCCAAATTTAACGATGATGCTCTCGCAAACGTCCAGCTCTCTGGATCTGCTTTTGAGGTTGTGATGGGCTTGGAGGGGCTTCTCCCAAAACACGCAGGTATTAAAGTCTGCAGTTGGTCCACCCTCATTGCAGCCACTCTTCATGAACCCAATTGCCAACAGAGGTTCCAGTGCACTTTCTTTTTTTTCCTTTATGCTATAAGGCACCTGTGCTCCCAGCTCTCCACAGTGAGGGGGAGAGACGGAATATAAAGAAGCACTCTGGCAGGGTTGGGGGAAGGTGGATGGCCACACCACAATCCCTTCTTCATTCTTCTCTTAGGATTTTGGGAATGCATGAGCACGCACCCAGCGTGTTTTCAATCCTCTAGTTTGGAACTTCGACAGAGCAATCTGCCCTGTGGGATCTAGCTGCTTAACCACTAGGCCACTGGCTGGCCCACTGTGTGTGTGTGTGTGTGCTTTTAAGGTATCTCCCCAACCATAATTCTGACAGACCAGCAGGCTCAGATGGGATCCTTGTGGTCTGAGTCAAAAGATCTTAGAAAACTGCCATTCCTCAGAGTCTTTTCACTGGCTCTTTCATTTTAGAAACTGAGGATAGATGTCTCCGCAGGTGAGATTACTTCCGACTTCCTCTGTTAGGAATGAGGCAACCAAGGCTAAGAGACTCCAGGATTCTAGCCTGAAGTCCCCCAGACAGCAAGAGCAAAGACCAGGATGGGCCTTGGGTCAGTGTTGCACAAGGTATCTAAGCACCTGAGGGCATCCTCATGGGACACACCTGACCAATGGATTTGAATCAGGATTATCAAAGCTCAATGGCTTTAAAGAATAATTATTAATTTAATTAATTTATTTATTCACTTATTTTAATTTGACCAGAGAGACACACAGAGAGGGAGAGAGAAAGTGAGAAAACAAGCCACCAGGTCTGGGCTTGGACCACGGACTAAGGTCAGCCATGTGGGAGCCCAGCGCCTCAACCACCACGCCATCTGCCAGCCCCTCAATAAATTTTCCAGGT